CACACAGGAAGCCTAAGTGCAAGGAGAGGAAAGGTAATATCAATTTTTAATAATACACTGGGAGATATGAGTAATCTGCACAGCCAACCAGACCTCCAGTGGCCAGTCAGAAACCCTTTTGGGCAGAAGCCTCACATCATTCCACCCACTTTCTAAAAAAACACTTCATGTTCAGCAGAAAAGGTATTGACAGGCACTATGTTTACAGTTAAATAAAGGTACTTCTGACCTTCTAGTTCAGAGTACCCAATGGAGGAAGGATTCTAATCTGTATTAAGTAATTATGAGTATTGCAGATCACAGTCATTTGCAGGGAATTTGTTCCCAGAATCACTGTGAATGGCAACATCCACCAATATTGATGGGGGCAGACTGAAAGACCAAAATGGCCTGGAAAAAAGCCCTCCCCTGCCCATTTCCATCCTCTACCACCTCCATCCATTGGAGCAAGACCCAGCTAAGGTGAATTGTGTGCAGCGCCAGTCTTGGGTGCAGCATTGCCACTGGGTTGGCCAGCTGAGCAGAAGGCAGCAGCTGTGGCACCCACCAGATGAATCATGTGGGAGTGCCCACCAGACAAGTTGTCCAGACCCAGCAGCAGGACTGGGCCACATGACTCTTCCAGCAGCAGTTGCTCAAGTTGAGATGATTGTGAAGAGACAGGGAGCAGAGCCAGAATGCTCATGAGAACTCTACCTTTCCACCCATTGACTGAATGCCCAGAAGGGGAGGGTCATGTGCTCAGGGTAGCCACAACATGTAGTCAGGCTGTGAAGTGTGAATAAGGGAAATTGGAAGTGATGAATTCATGAATTGTGAGGGACTACTGTATAGAACAGGGGTACACAACCTTTTTGAGGGCACCTTTGAAATTCTGACATGGCATGGTATGTACAACCTCAAAATGGCTGCCATAGGAGACAGAGGCAGCCACAAAATGATTACCATAACTTTTCTTCAGTCACACAGTGAAGGTTCTTGTGCTTTACTGGCAGCTGATGCCAAAGCAGCATTTTTAAAAATCTGCACAGCCAATCATATATTTTGCTGGGCAAAAGCCCTACCTGGCCCGACCAACTTTCTAAAAATACTTGATGGGTGCCAGAAAAGACATTGGCAGGCACCATGGCTTCCATGGGCACCACACTGGGAACAGCTGGTACAAAACTTTTGTGCAAAGATAATTTATATAATGCTCAGCACTTAATGGGTATTACAAAATTTGGGTTCAGATGATGCATATTTTTTTCTCTTTCCATGCAAGCAGGATCCTCATCACTCACTGAGCAATGTAGAACTCAGTTGTCCATGGTATTCTCTCATGCATCTGGCAGGGAAAGTGTAAGAGAGCCTATGTATGTATGGGGAGGAGAGATATTGTGCAGCTGCTTGAGTTATTCCAATTTAAACAGCATCCCAATGAAATTGCAGTAGCTGTGTGGGAAATACCCACACAGTTGGCACTGCCCATATGCTTGTGTGTATATATTTTTAAATAACACAAACACTCTCTGCATCCATGTGAGATGGAACCCTGGGACATCATGCACAGCTTTTGATATTTGATATTTATTGTCATTTTAGTCATGTTAAATCTTTCTGTTATACTTTAATATGGATGATTTAAATCAGTGTTACATTATGTATCTTTAGAGTTCCTTGCTTTAGTTTTATGGTGATGATATAGTCTGTCAGCTTTTGAAATACTGTAGGGTAGAAATCCCAATTTAAAATATTGTCCCATAACACTAAAAGTTTGTTTTCATGATTCAGCTGTGGCTGATTTGATCTTGTTTGTTGCTTAGTCTGAACTGCATATTTGGTGGTGGTTGTTTTGTATTCCCTGCTTAAGTCTTTCTCCTGTTGTGCTGCTTTCTTTATTCTTTGCCTACCTGTTCTATATCGGTAACCTTATTTCGTCACACTGCTATTGTCCTAGTGCTTCCTTCTGAGTGTGTGTGCCTTACCTGTCAATGGTTGAGCATAGGGGGAAACTTTGAATTGGTGTTTTGGTTGAAATCTGAAATGATACCTGATGATATGTGTATGTTTTCATTAAAAATCAAAATATTCAAGAAAGGCTGGTCTTTAAGTGAGAGAAAGCTACAGGTGTGTGTGTGTGGGGGGGTTGTAAGTGTAACAGCAAAACAGTCTCCAAGTATCTCAGATGGATAAGTTTTGAATATATCTATGAGTTTATTTGCACATATGAAGTTATGGAATATGCTTTTTAGTGTATGTAGTACTAAGTTTTGTATTTGGCTATGAACTCATCTATGTTGCCTTTGAAACTGGACAGGTGGCGGCGGAGGAGATTGGATTTATACCCCGCCCTTCACGTAGAGTCTCAGAGCAGCTTACAAACTCCTTCCCCTCCCCACAACAGACACCCTTTGAGATAGGTGGGGCTGAGAGAGCTCTGAGAGAACTGCTTTTTCAAGAATAGCTCTGACAGAGCTATGGCTTGCCCAAGGTCATCCAGCTGCTGCAAGTGGAGGAGTGGGGAATCAAACCCGGTTCTCCCAGATTAGAGTCCGGACACTTAACTTTGGGCTCAAATCTCTTGGGTTTGGCTATGTATCTGAAATTAGAACTGGAATAAAATTTCATGGAACTGTTGTCTTGTTCCTATATACATTCTGTGCATTTTTGTGCATGCATGCTTTTATTTATCAGGAATATAACTATTGGAAGACCCATGCATGAACAGGTTACTGTGTATATATTTTAATATGAGAAACCCTCTATCTTGTTGCATTACACAGGTCATAAATGACATACATTATCATACTCTTATTATTATAAACAGGAAATATTAAAGGTGTTTAAAAAAATCTTTGTGCAGGTACAGATGTCACAAATTCCGCATCTGGTTTGTATGGAACCTCTTGTGTCCTCTCTAAGTACTTGGAGATTCTGTATGTCTTAAACAATAGAAATCATGAGTACATTCCAGCCTTTCTGCAAATGGACTTTTTTCATCAGACCTAGCCTTTGCTGTTCTTCAATATGTTAAGCCTGTTACTTCATGTGCTGAAGGTACGCTCAGTGTACCCTAACTGCTATTAAATTATATTGTATGCTTAGCTCTGATTTATAGAGGTCACTAGTAAAAAGCACTAGCCTGTCAACTTGCTTTACCTGGCAGCAGTTCAACTACGACAGGCTTACCTTTGATTTAAACAAATTTGAGAAATATGTAAAGTTTGGGAAGCAGTTTTGCACTGATTTGATAAAAGAAACCACAAAATGCTGCAGCGCAGGTGTTGAGAATGTTTGAAAGCTGATTGAGGGAAGCAGATGGCTTTAGTCAGTGGCATCCAGCCAAAAGAGCAGGTGCTGGTCATGTGACCACTGGTTACCAGGGTAATCTGATTGCTCTTGGCGTGCAGATGAAAGGAAAGGGGCCCAGTGTTCAGTTGTAGTATTGTATAATTTGTGGCAGTTAGAGCGGAAATAAATGCTGGAAATGGAGCCTCATAGTAGGGGAGACTTCTGTCCATGTGTTGTATATACACTAGGATGGCTGGAATGGGAACTGTTGTACAGATTCATTTTTTTCTTTTAAAAAACGATTTGTCTTCTATAGCCTTTGTAATGATGTTAAACATTACAGGGTTTAGAGCTGCTTTTTTTAAAAAAAAATTGTATCTGTACTGTGTTCATAACTTGAATTTCTGAAATTACCAAAGGTTTTAAATCTTCTATGAATAGGTTTGTGTAATACTATATAGCAATAATAGAACTAAGATGTTTACAGAAGCTCCTGTTACAATAACTCTAAAGCAAAATATAGCTTGATAAACATTTTCTCTTTTTAAATGATCAAATTCACTTGCCTTGTTTTTCCCCCCTCCAGCAAGTTTGAGTATTCAGGTAGTATTCCACTAAAATATTTGACAAACTAAAATCACAACTGTATCAGAAACTGTGGTGTAACTGAATATTAAATATTATTTGTAGTATTGCGATTTCTGATACAGTTATGACTTTTCATTTTCTCAAAATTGAGTCCGTGTCTATTTATCTTGGTTTTGCCAAATGTTTTAAAAGAAATTCACTTGAATATTCATAAGTGTTTTAGTACAAAAATCTTCTGAAAGCATACAAGGATAGTGAGTATTCCTAACACTAAACAATTTAAGACAATTTACAGTTCTTCAGCATGTTCTGTTTTACACATTTGGTGTGTTCAGCATTCCTAACTTTAAAAAAATAGTGCCTGTGAAATCTTGCATGCTTTTGGTATGCTGAAGGTAAGATCCTGACTGTTGCGGTAGATATGGACCCCTATTTTCTTGCTGCTCTTACCTGGCAGCATGAAGCCCTCCATTCCTGTTAGTTTGGAGACAGCCAGCCCTTTATTTGGGGATCTCCTGCATCCTCTGTCTTGCCCTGTTTTGGAACTCAGTGTACTTGGCCTTGGGATATCCCCTTTAGAAATAGGGTTAGGGGAGGGAGGGAGGGAGAGAGAGAGAATAAGTACAACAGAAGTTTGCTTTTATACAACTTAATATTGAATACATCCAAGATCAGGCCTTTAAGTAGTGGTGGCTGGACATCTCCTGGGATTACGACTGATCTCCAGGCAACAGAGATCAGTTCACCTGGAGAAAATGGCTGCTTTGGAAGGTGGACTCTATGGCATTATACCCCATTCAAGTCCCTCTCTTCTACAAACCCCACCTTCCTCTGGCTCCATTCCAGGTATTTCCCAACCTGGAGCTGGCAACCCTGCCTTTGAGCTTTTCTGTGAGCTAGCATAGAGAGTTGTTTATGGATTTGTGTAGTCTATAGTAGCCAAATGTATGAAGTGAATGGAAAAATATATCACAACTATTAGTAATGGCGATACTGCAGATAATTCATTTTTAAAGTGTTAATAAGGTCAGCTTGTTGAAAACAGCCCAAAGGTAGGTGTTTGCAAATTAATTTCATTCTGTGTGGTGTAAAGGAGTTTTTGTTCATTCAAAATTTGATCAAGGATATTTATGTTTTAGTAGCAAGAAATCAGAATCAGAATCCAGTGCATTGAAGAAAAAGGTCAACAAGGGAAAAGAAGGTTCTGAAAACTCTGATTTGGAAAAAACACCACCAGGATCACCACACCCTGAGGAGGAAGATGACGCAGGAGTTCAGGTAGTGCCATTGTTCAATTGTTTAAGCACAATTAAAAAAATTTAAACAATAGGGATCATGGTAGTTTGCAGTTGAGCTTAATTAACTCTTTCCCTAACCTTTTTGAAGTGGAATAGGGAGGGAGGGGAAGAGGAGCACAGTGTGTGCTTGTATTTCCAATTGAGAGTTAGATTATATAATTTATCACATCATTTTAAATAATGTCCCTATGATACTTTCTCAATTTGTTTTCCAGAATAAATGCACCAATCATTTTTTCACCTCCATATAACTTTGAGTTGACTTTTTCAGTGAGCTTTCAGCTAGAACTCAACTTGGGGTCCCAACATGGACCCCATCAACATGTGCATGAACACACTAATCCCAGTCATCATCTGTGTGGATTTACTGACATTGTCTCCGTTCAGATGTAGCACTAAAAAATAAGACCAAGATAGGTACCCTACCACAAATTTTGTTAGTCTTTAAAGTGCTACTGGACTTTTGGTCTTTTCTACAAAATAAGAAGTTCTAGTAGTTCAGAGTGTCCCCAAAGATTATCAGGATTGTTTCTGAATCATGAGTTGCAAATCCCCTTGAAACTATGATTAAAAGTGTGATTTTGAGACAATTTCTGATTAGTATTGACAATAATTGATTTCAAACTATAGTGGGAGAAAACCGGAAAACAGAGGAGTGGCTTGACATAGCAAGGGATAAAAAGCACACAAGTGGTATCTGTGCTCCCGCCTTCAAAGGTGAAGTATGTGGTGACTAGAGACAGGACATTTTTCTGTGGTGGCACCTTGTCTCTGGAACGCCTACCCCCTTAAGGCTTGCCTGGTGCCTACTTTACATTTTTTATTAAGTGCCAAGCCAAAACCCCATATTTTCACCCAGGTTTTTATCTTTTTAAATATTATCTTACCAGCTTTTTAATGGGCTGTTTTTGTTTCATGGGTATTTTTTAAGCTGTTTATGTCCAGTGGCTTGTCTTTATATTGTTACTAGCCTGATACCCATGCTTCACTATGGTATTTAAGTTCCGTAAATCCAGTTATAATACTAATGATGTGAAGTTTGAAATTTAACATTTGTTGTAGGAATTCTAATGGAGAAGATCGTAGTGTAAAAAATGAAGTGAGACATGTGTACTGTTCTTTCCTCTACGGAAGGACCTCTCTGTAGACCACATTGGTGGCTCTGCCGTCAGGTGCTAGGATCATCAGACTGCTTGGTGAGCTCATTCTGAAGCAGTCCTCTGTTAAGTCAATTCCTGCCACCTTCATTTTCTGGCCTTGGGGCTTGTTGATGGTCATAGCAAAGCAGACCTTGAGGGGGAACTGCAGCCTCTTGAACTCGAAGGGGTTTTCTAATGGTATTAGTGTTATGTCTGGTATGCTTGGGCATCCTCCCCGATGGCTTTCAACACTCTGCCTCTGCTCCTGCACCTGATGGACAACCACCTGTCAGGTGGAGGAGGGGTAGGTGGGAGTGTGTCTAAACCACTGGTTCCCAAAGTGGGCAGTACTGCCCCCTCGGGGACGCTGGAACGATCCAGGTGCAGTCCACAAACTGCATCTTTTTATCTGCTTCTTGAAGGTAGATGTCCGGGGGGGGGGGGGGGGGGGGAATTTGGGGGGCTGAGTAATTTTTTTCTGAAAAGGGGGCGGTAGGCCAAATAAGTTTGGGAACCTCTGGTCTAAACCATTGAGGAGGCTGGCCCAGCAGCATTGCTAAGGTGTTTCTGCTCAGGTGGCCTCCCTGATGGATTAAAGTACCCTGGCCCTGCTCCTACACCTGAAAGGCACCCACCTGTCTGGTGTTGGGGGAGTGTGTTTAAAGGTATTGGGGAGGCTGGGCCAGCAGTAGCATTAAGGCAATCCTGTTGAGCAAGCCTGCCCCACGGCTGTAAGCATCCCACCCCCTCTCCTTCACGTGACAGGCAGCTGCCTGACCAGTATAGGAGGTGTAGTGGGTGGGCTATTGCAAGCCACTGTGGAGGCTGGGCCGGCAGGATAGCTAAGGTTGGGGTGGGCTCCCTGATGGCTTTAAGCACTCTGCACCCACTGCTGCACCTGACAGACAGCTGCCTGTCAGGTTTAGGAGGTGGGGGGGCATGTTTGAAGCCATTAGGGAGGCTGGGCAGAGAGATGTTTTATGTTATGTTTATATTGTATGTTTTAAGTGTATATCACCTCAAGCAGGACTGTGAAGAGGCAGTATAGAAATATCATAAATCTGGCATTAAGTTTGGAAATATTTTTTGGGGACTCAGTATGGTCTGCTTGGGAGTTAACCATCCTGAATAATTTAGTATGATTTGCATTAGAACTGACTCCAGATAATATATGAAGAACTGATAGTGTCCATGTGTATATAGATCCTGAGGAGTCCCTGTGCATGCTTCCCTTTATTATGAGAACTGTTGTTTTACTCCTGCCCTCGGTCTCATGTTCTTAAACAATCACATAAGGGAACATCTTCTTATCTCTTTACCATGTTTTGGTAAGAGCATTGATGAGGGAATTTGAGAACAGCATTTTCATCGTCCAAGAATACAATGTCTACCCCATCAATCAATCTGCATCTTTACACTCAAATAATTGTAAAAGGTCACTGAGGCAGAAAGTGTGGTCATTTTCTCTTCATTAATCTTGTTCTTTTATATTTTAGCCGTATTAAAATAACAAGTGAAATTATCTACTAAGACCCTGGGTTGGATCCAGTGTAAATTTTCTGCTAATGGAAGGTACTGCCATCTGCAGAACAGGAAGGTTCAAAACAGAACCTTCTTGCCTCCCACTTCAACCCACTGATCTCCTGAATGCTGCTGCTTGGGAACAGGGCACCCAAAGGAGAAATTGGTGAAAATTACACTTCTCTGTTAATGGAAATTTAGTCTGGATCCACCTCACAGTTTAGATTTGGGATGTTCCCTTTAAGCTGTGGAGTCTTGTGAGCAAAAATTCTACTTTGTGAGCTACTTACATTAAAGTTGTGAGCAAGCATTTTGGCTACTGTATAAATTAGTTTGCTCTGGAGCCATCCTTCCTGAGCTAAGACAAAAATGTGTGAGCCGGAGGCTAAAAAACTGTGAGCTAGCTCACACTAACTCAGCTTAGAGGGAACATTGTTTGGGACTCCAATTCCTGCTTTTAATAGAACCCAGGAAAATATCTTATTTCAATTTCTCTTCCTCCTCTCTCCATTCCAAGAACAAGAAGCACTTAATTGTGAAATGGAAGGCCTGTAATAAAAGCCTTCCTGTCTCCCGGGTCAGTAGCAAATAGATTTCTATGTTAGAGGATTCAGATAGTATGTAGGAATTGCCTATTAGGACTAGAGTAGACCCTTTCCATTGACAGGAGTTCAATTCCTGGGATCATGGTGAATGGTGACATCCACAAATACTGAAGACAGGGTGTCTGCTGCTTCCAGGGGTGGAATGCCCTGGAAAGGGCCCCACTTGGTCATGAAGGGATGCCTGCCTGGGCTAATCATGCAGTGTCTGACCTGTCTGCAGTACTGCCAGGGGAGCTGTGCAGCAGTGATTTGCCTTGTCATCAGCCTGGCTGGGGGAAGTCACAATGCTGCAAACGAACACCACCATGCGAGACACCTGTCCCGGCTGGCAAGGTGGGCACCATGCAACTCACCCAACATGCACACTTCATCCCAGCACAGATACAGTTCAGAGAAGCTACCAGTCATGCAGAGGCAAGATATGGGGCCAGTGTGCTCGTTCCTGCTCTCCCCACATGTGAAGAAGTCGTACTCAGGACTAGTGGCATCACATGGTTCGGCCGTAGACTACTAATAAGTAAAAGTGTAAATGTGAATGGCAAGCATCTACTTTATACAGAAAGTATTCTCCTTTGTGATCTCTGTGTAAATCCACATAGGGCCTGTACAGAAGCAGATTCCAAATATTCTAATGAATTGGTACCAGAATTGGCACTCCCAATAGGAGAATTTTGATTCACTGTACATCCCTAAAATGGTAGAAGTTCTTTTCTGACTACCACACTAGGAGCAGCTCTGAATGCAGGATTTTCAGTTAAAAACATTTTGTTTTCAAGGCAGTTTTATAGGCAAGACCTGACGATATTGTGGAGTTCAGAGGGAAAACTGAGTAGTCGAGTGGACTTTCTCTCCAGTTTATCTCCTCTGATGAGCCAAAAAAAAAAAAGAGCATACAAAATATAAGCATATATAAAGACAATTTTCCTTAGTCTGTATTACTTCAGAAAGCATTATAGCATGAAACCATTGCCCCTACAAAGAATCCTCTTGGGCAGAGGATGCCATAGAAATTTTCTGTGCTCTCGCACATCAGTGTGAAGGAGCCATGTTAGTGAGAGCGGATGACATAAGGTCTACAGTACTATGGCATATTCGTGTATCAAGATTACACAGTGCCTGTATGGTGTGAACAGTGTTGTTCTGCTATCTACACAGCCCCTCCTTTCAGGGCCGCAGGAAGGCAGCTTCCACTTTGCTGAAATAATGTATTAATTGGGTGTGCCTTCCCCAGGAAGAATTTTGGATTGTTCTGTAAGGGTTGTTTTTCTTTTTCAGAAGAGGCGCTCTAGCAGACAAGTTAAGAGAAAGCGTTACACCGAAGACCTGGAGTTCAAGATTTCTGATGAGGAGGCTGATGATGCAGATAATGGTGGAAGAAACTCTCCTTCAAATACTTCTCAATCTGAGCAACAGGTCAGTTCATATTTATGCTCATCAAACAGAGGGTAGACTGAACATCCTGTAATGATTTAGACTGTAAAACATTTAAGTGTTGCTTTTTTCCCAAGGGACTTCCATCTTTGCTTAGCTCAACATGCCAAAGGAAATTAGTTGTTTAGGTTCTTAAGGGCTGTGTTCATTCAGGTTTTCTTTACAAGCCTACAATATGTAATTCAACACAATTTAGTAAAATTAATGGTCTCTGCTGAAAAGCCTAAAAATGGCTCCAAGGAGACTGAATTTACCACTGTGAATTCAGTGGTCTGGCTTCTATGACTTAATAAACCACTCAAGCTTGTCTCCTGCTGTCAAGCACTATAAGAACCCCTTTATAAAATTACTGTCTTGTAGTAACCAGCAGGGTATGCTTTATTCTCTATGCAATGTAAATGATGGATAAAATAGGTTGAATAAAATGAAGGGTGATAATGTGAAATGATTCCTGTAACAGTCTTTTTGTAGTGGTCTTTTAATATCACTACTTCGCTTAACTAACTTGACAAACCATTAGTAAATGTGTGCATCAGCTGGAGCATTCATTTGACAATTTATATTTTTATTAGTTAACTGTCCTTTATGGTGTCTCCAGTTAAATGTTTCCAAGAGACATCAATATTACTTTCACATTTAGGGTTCTTGAGCAGCTTCAGACATAAGAAATTGACTATTCTCTGAAAAACTAATGCCATTCCTTTAAAAATTAACAATATAGTTCTGTAAGACCAAAAAAAGCCTTGTTAAGAGCAGTCTTGCTGGATCAAACCAAGTGTCTGATTAGTCCAGCATACTGTTCCCAACAGTGGTCAGTGTCTAGGAAACTGACAAACAAGGTTTGAAAGCAATAGCTCTCTCCTCTTCCCTTCCTCATCCCAGTCAGACATTCATAATTTAGTGGTATATTGACTCTCACCATATGTAGTTTTCATGGCAAGAAACCTGTCTTCCCTGAATTTGTCTCATTCACATTTTAAAACCAGCTAAACTAGTGGCCATCACTATGTTTTTGACAGCGAACTCAGTAAGTTACTTATGTGTTGTGTGAAGAAGACACTTCCTTTTGTCTGTCATAAATCTGAACCCGGTTAAATTGAACAAAAGACCATGTATTGGATCCTACCAGTGCAAGGAATTTGTGATCTCCCATCTCCTTCCTCCAGCAGTCCCCTCTAGCCCCAATGCTGTGGTCAGGGACCCTTATGGACAAATCATGTGGCTGCAATGAGGAGGGAAATCTGGTGAAATCCCCCTCCCTGCACATGAGCAAAGAAAGCTTGGTAGGGGCATCTTTCATAATTCTCTAAATCTCTCTAAGGTTTAATGTTTCATTTCTAAACTAAAAGCCTCAAACATTTTCGACGTCCCTTATGGTGAAGGAGCTTAAACACTTCACTCACTTTGGTTTCTCCTTTCTGCACTTTTGAACACAAATATAACTACTGTGAAATGTTTCTTTGTAGGAGTCTGCTGATACTGATGGCCCTGTAGTTGAGAAAATCATGAGTTGCCGAACAGTCAAGAAACAGGTACTTAAACATTTAGATAAATTCTTCACACCTCAGAGCTGTTTATTTCTTTGTCAAACTGCTTTCATAATTGCCAGAAAAATACATACTGAAGTTCACAGGGGTTTTGTTTCTGTATTCAAAAAGTCGGTCATTCAGAGTGTTCATGTAATCTGCCTATCCAGACAGTGTAATTTAAGTCAAGATGATTTTAAATTAATGATGTACAAGAAGTTTTAACTACAAAAAAGTAGAATGATTTTAGTCGTATTTCCTTTTTTTGTAACACATGTATTTCCTGAATGACAATGCATGTAATTAGTTGCTATAGTAAATAGATCTTTTGTGCAAATTTAACTTGAGGTAGATAATGTCAAATGTCTGCTGTTCAGTTAATGCTGATAAATCTAGTGTGGGAGGGGAGAAACTCTTAAATTAAGAGAAGCCTTAAGGCCCTCTCTCTCTTCCATCAGTGGAATTGTGCTTTTCCTCTGGATTGCCCACCACAGTTAGACTTTAACATGCTCCAGAAAACTGCTTTGCCACCTCAGAAGCAGCTGCACACTCCTCCAGTGTGCCCGACTATCACCCCAGAAGTGTCATACTTAGCCCCCTCCCCAAGGTGGAAAAGGCTTGGTGCTAGTGGTTCCTTCTTCTTGCTTCAGTTTTTTCAGCCATCTAAAGATGGAGAAATTCCCAGACAGGTCACAGTCTGCTTTTGCCAAGCTCCCCTCGTTGACACTCCAGAGACAGCAATTAATTCCTCTTCAGCAGTCAAAGATAGATTACCCAGAAATCAGCATGATAAAACTCTTTGAAGTTGTCCTGAGGAAGAACTTTGAATCAGACTCTGGTGCATTCTGGGTGTCAAGAGCTGAACTCTCTATTTTCTAGGAAATTTTACTTAGCGAAGTTAGACTTTTTCTCCAAAGCGATTAACTGGAAAAAAATCCCTCTCTACAGCATATAGCTTAGACACTGGTAAGTTAGTGCAGATTCCCATTTGAGCTTTAGTAATGTTCTTTTTACAGACACCAAATTATTTAGAAAATCTTTAGATCTCATGTTGATCAGAACAAACGCCAACAAGCAGGTTTTGCTAACTTAAGGAAGAATGGACTTGGTGTCCAACAAGATTGGCTCATTTTGTGAGTTCAAGACTAACACATAATAATTCAGCGGATTAAGGAGCTGAAAACAGAAACCCTTTAATACATCTTGCAGACCATCAGCTCCTGATAAAATCCTCCCACTGTCTTATAGAGGGGAAAAGAAGGCAGTTAGGCATAGTGCACTCAGTGAGCCCAAGAATACATTTGACACTTTCCAGCTTCACAACAGTCATCCTCAGACCTCTGGGTGCTAGAGACTACACTTGTAAACCACCTTTCCTCCAAGGAGCTTAGGAAAGTGTTCATGGTTCTCCCTCTCCATTCTATCCTCCCAACAACACTGTGAGTTAGATTATGTCCCCAGGAGAGCATTATGCTCCTTGGAGAGCAATCTACTGGTGATCCCTGGCCCCAAAGACATCCATATGTCCTCTACCAGGACCAGGCCTTTTTCAGCCCTGGCCCTAACTTGGTGAAACTCTCTGCCAAACAACATCAGGGCCCTGCGGGACCTTATGCAATTCTGCAGGGCCTGTAAGGCAAAGATGTTCTGCCAGGCCTTTAGTTGAGGACAGCGATTGCTTCAGGGGTGGGAAATGGTCAGTAAAATCAATAAAAGTCCATTTTTTCATCTTGGTTAGTAATTTGTCAGTTTTTTAAAAATTGGTCAGTAAAGTCAGTATTTCTTTGATTTTTGTGAATGCAGTTTGTGTTTTTCCATTTTCATTACTGCATTTTTGGGGAAACATGATGACTTCCCAGTGAGAAGACAGATTGTTTTCAGTTTAGTACTTTAAGGACGTTGTTCCTAAGAGTAAAAATGATTTGGTGAAATCTTCCACAAAGTATAGAGACATAATTAACCTCTTAAAACGTGAGACAATGAAAGTAGAAGTGAAGGATATTGTGGGATTCAACATGGCACAGCTCATGCTAGAAGGAGTTGAGAAAGCAATGGAAGAAGAGGACAAGGGAAAAAATGCTTGTGGATGCAGTGCAGAAAACTGTTGAAAAATAAAAGAGTTTGTGAATAACTTTATTTATTTATTCAATTTATACCCTCCCCTCCCCACCGGAGCGGGCTCAGGATGGCTTACAAAGAGATTAAACATATAGGTAACAAATTATACACAATATTAAAACAAATAATAAAACTCTACATTATCATAAAGTGCTAGTAAGTGATCAGGTAGTTATAATAATGCTTACAGAAGGCAGAACCAATACTAGTGTTGTAATCAGATGATCTATATTGATGGTTGGCTCATCTTGGTCTCTATATTTAGGCAACAGCACAGGCTGTTGTTGGTAAGCCAAGGACCAGGGCACTGTCACTTCTCAGTTATTTGATGTTATTTGGTGCGGCTCCTTAGTCGAACACCTGGTGGAAGAGCTCCATCTTGCAGGCCCTATGGAACTATAAAAGGTCCCAAGGGCCCTGATATCTTCTGGGAGCTCATTCCACAAGTACGGAGCCATCCATGAGATGGCTCTGGCCCTGGTTGTGGCCAGCCTGGTATCTTTAGGACCTGGGAAGCCAATCAATTTATTTATTTATTTATTTATACTTTCAATTTGTACCCCGCTCACCCCCAAAGGGCTCTGAGCGGCTTACACTGTGCATGGTGCAGAGACCTATGCAGAAACCCTAACTATGGCCACAGTACGTCTGGGGTGGGGGGAGCCCTACCAGGTACCCTCCCGGCTCCGATCGTTCGTTTATCCGGCGAGTGGGCAACTTCTTCTAGTTTTCTCTGGTGCGGCTTCCGCGGCCTCGCGCAGTGCTCTCTGGGGAACATGTGGGGAAAGGTGTTCCCTCAGGTATGTGGGCCCCTGACCATAAAGGGCTTTAAAGGTAAATACCAGCACCTTCAAGCGAATTCTGTATGCTACCGGCAGCCAGTGCAGTGCTTTCAGCACAGGCTGGATGTGCTCCCGCATAGGGAGTCTGGCTGCAGCATTTTGCACTAGCTGTAGCTTCCGGATTTGGGTCAAGGGCAGCCCCATGTAGAGAGCATTACAGTAGTCCAATCTTGAGGTGACCATCGCATGAATCACTGTCGCCAAATTGTTGCATTTGAGGAAGGTAACCAACTGCCTAATCAGCCGGAGGTGGTAAAAGGCTGATTTGGCAGTGGCTGCTACCTGGGCCTCCATTATTAGTGAGGCATCCAGGAGCACTCCCAAGCTCCTAACCTCTGGCACTGGCACCAGTGGCGCCCCATTGAAGGTCGGAAGTAGGATCCCTACCCTCGGGCCACCCCGGCTCAGGCACAGGACCTCTATCTTTGTCGGATTCAATTTCATTTGGCTCAGTTTGAGCCAGCCAGCCACACCTTGCAACACCTGGACCAGATCTTCTGGTGTAGAGTCAGACTGGCCGACCAACAACAGATAGAGCTCAGTGTCATTCACATACTGGTGACATCCCAGCCCCTGCCTCCAGGCAATCTGGGCAAGGGGGGGCATGTAGATGTTAAATAACATTGGGGACAGCACCACCCCTTGGGACACTCCACAAATTAGTGGGTGCCTTTGGGATAGCTGCTCCCCTAGCACCACCCTTTGTCCCTAACCCTGAAGGAAGGAAGCCAGCCATTGCAAGGCAAGCCCCTGGACTCCAGTGTTGGCGAGGTGGTGGATCAGTAACTGATGGTTGACCATGTTGAACACCGCCAACAGGTCGAAAAGCAACATGACTGCCAATCTGCCCTGATCCAGATGCCTTCGGAGGTCATCCGTGAGGGCGACCAGTGATGTCTCCGGACTGGAAAGGATCTAGAATGGATGTGTCATCCAAAAAGCTCTGTGTCATCCAAAATGGAATCTAGAATGGAAGTGTCATCCAAAAATTGCCACAGCCCTTTCAAATATTTTGCCCAAATAGAGCAGATTGGAGTCCAGCCGGTAATTAGCCGATTTGGCCAGATCCAGAGATGGCTTTTTCAGGAGGGGACGAACCACAGCTTCCTTGAGTGCCCTAGGGAACTGTCCCTCCGAGAGGGACTTGTTGATAATCTCCCTTAGAGCATATTGAAACCCATCATGGCCAGCTTTAATTAGTCATGATGGGCACGGGTCAAGGCAGCACGTGGTAGGGCGTACAGTTAAGAGCAGTTTGTCAACTTCCTCCAGGCTGAGCGGACTGAAATAATCCATAACCTGAGTAGAAGACGTGCATGGAGCCTCGAGTTCACTTACTGGCGGGGAGGTCACAGCGGAGCAACAGGACTATATCTGCAAAGTAGCTTGCAGAGGCCTCACAGCCAGTGTCCAGTTCCCTAACATTTGGTCTGCCTTGTGGCAGAACAGTCATAGACTGAATTCTTCTTAATAATTGGGCTGGGGATGAGCTTGCAGATGCAATCGTGGCCACATAATACTCTCAGCAGCTTTGATTGCCATCTTATAGGGTCTCATAAATGTCCTATAAGATGTTATTGTGGATTCGTCGCAGGAGCACCGCTACTGTCTCTTAGCCTTCACTTCATCAGCTGCAACTCCTGGGTAAACCAAGGAGCCAGCCTAGAGTGAGGGCGCAGAGGGTGTCAGGGAGCAATCTCATCGATGGCTGCTGAGAGTCAGCTGTGCCAATCCTCCACAAGCTCCACAAGCCACCAGAGGGGCATTGGATCCCGCAGGGCCATTTGAAGCCACATAGGGTCCATTTGGCTCCACAGGCAAGCTGAAATCTGCTCACCACCCAAACAGGGTCGGGGTGGAACATTCAGATGGACCTTCAGGGCTTGATGGTCCAACCATGGCACTGCTGAGGCAATGACCCGGTCCACTGTGACCCCTGCCGCGACGATCAGATCGAGCATGTCTCCGGCCCAGTGAGTGGGAGTCATTACATATTGGGAGAGTCCCAGCGCCGCCACAGATGACAGTAGACCCATTGCCTGAGTGGAGGCCACATCATCCACATGGACATTGAAATCACTCAGGACAATCAGTCTAGAGTGTTCCAATGCCCAGCCTGACACGGCCTCCACCAGGAAAGGCAGGCTGCTGGCCGGTTCTTTTTTTATCAAAAAACCAAAGATAAAGTAAAAGCAAAGACAAGTCTTACCTTACAGTAATTATGTTTTGTTGTCATAATAATTACTTTATGTTTGGTTTTTTAATTGTTTTTGCTGTTTTATTATCTGCAGTGTGTGATTATTTTTAAAAGGAAATCCTTTTTGCCTTAAATTTTGTACATTAATGAAAACATTGTCCTCTATTCATAAAAAAATTAAATAAAAAGGTGTACAGTCCTTTTATCTGGGTCACATCTAACTTTGGGGCTGGCTATGGGGATGGTGGAGGCCGGATAATAATCATTTTTCATGAAGTCCTACTTTTACATTTAAAACACTAGTTTATCAGTAGGCTGACATTAAATTGTTCAGTAATTTGTCAGTATTTGGTCAGGTTTTTTTTAAAATTTTGGTCAGTAAAATCAGTATTTTTTACCCTCTGACTAGTTCCCACCCCTGCAGCTTCCATCTTGGCTGGCACCCTCCTCCTCCTCTTCCTCTTCCCTTTCCATCACATTGTTTTATTCCTCCTCCCCATATGCATGAGGTGGCTGCAGTCCGGAATTGGGAAGAAACCGTAATTTCGCCACTTGGTTTTTTAAATTTACGTGCTTATTTTATAGTTTTAATTTTTTTACTTTGTATTGTATATCACCCAGAGCCCTGCAATAGCAGGGATTGAGCAATTTGTAAGTTTAATAGATGATGGTGGTGAAGAGCTTTCAGAGGAATAGTACACGTTAATCTTCTCCAACCAATATAACAGGCCAAATCTACCATAAATCAGCAGAAGGGCACAAGATCCCCATGACTTAACTAGGAACACGTCATTCAAACATGCCACGCCTAGCATTGCCATCTCAACAAAGTGGAAATTATACGGCTTGGTTATCTACTGCTCAAGCTGGTACCAAGGTACCAAGCTGGTCTCAAGGACACCTTTTCCTGGGAAAGAGAGAGAGGAGGTACATCTTGCAAGGCAAGTTATGACTTCTAAAGCAAAGGTCCCATTCTCTCACTTATTCACTCACCTCCCCTCCCCGCAGGAATTCCCTCCCCCCATTACTATGGCAACCCAAGCAAGCATAGCGAAGCAAGGTTTCACAATTCCTAATAGTTCCAAAATGGGGCAGTCTTTCACCTAGAACAGGGGTCCCCAGAGTGGTACCCACATGTTTTGAGAAAGTGGGTGGAGCCAGGTCAGGCTCTTGCCCAGCACAGCTTCTGATAGGACACTGGAGATCTGATTGGCTGTACAGCTGCCACCAGTGTTGCTTTTGTTCTCTCTGTCACTCATTTTTCCTAGGGTATTTTAGAAATTACCCCTCTTCTCCCCTACACTTGTATGGCTTCATCTCCCATGGCAGCCATTTGTAGTTGTGCCCACCACCCTGTAGCAGAATTCTTAAGGTCCCCAGATTCGGGACCCCTGACCTAGAAAGGGCAAAATAGCACTTTGTTCAGTATTTGATTTAAGGGCAGCAATGGATTATAAAAGGAACCTATCGAATTGGAGTTAGTAGTGTGTTTAGCAATAATAATAGTACTTAGTATTTCTGTAGCACATTCAGTATTTAAAGTATTTCATGTATATCATTTTTTGGTAATTCGTACTGCTTCCTGTAAGAGTAGACTAGGAGTAGTGTCTCCATATTGTAGATGGGCAGTGGGTTTGAGGCTGAGAAAGTGTTCTTTGGCTAAGCCTTGTACTGCATTCATGACAGAGTTTAGGGACCTTCTCATTGTCTTAGTCAGTACACTGCAGAAGCTCCCAAATATGCACGAGTATTTTTAGCTGTCTGTGTGTGAACTCTGTTCACTTTTTGCTTTTTGGCCATCAAGTGGCAGCCGATTTATGGCAATGCAATATGATTTTCAAGGCAAGAGACATTCAGAGGCAGTATGCCAATGCTTACCTCTGTGTAGTAACCATGGTATTCCTTGGTGGTCTTCCATCCAAAGACTAACCAGGGCTGACCCTCCTTAACTTCCTATTTGTGTATGTAACATGCCATCAAGTCACAGCCAACTTATGGTAACCCCATAGGGTTTTCAAGGCAAGAGACATTCAGAGGTGGTTTGCCATTGGCTGCCTCTGAATAGCAACCCTGGTATTCCTTGGTGGTCTCCCATCCAAATACTGACCAAAGCCAACCCTGCTTAGCTCCCTGTTTAATACCACTCTAATTATTTCTGGGTTTTGCATAATTATTTTTAAAATTACTATGACACAGGTAAAGTGAAGCACTTCTAAATCCAATTGATTCTAATGAAAAAGAGTTACAGGCTTTTTCTCCAATTGAAATAAAAATTCCTAACCGTTGTCAAAGTAATTTAAGACACAAACAAAATGTGAGACTACACCCGTGCTTTGCTTCTCTTCAACAGTAAGCTTGTACTGTATACCATGTGTACTGCATAAATTGACATATAACATTGTTTTGAGCTTCTTTGTCACAGTTTTATCCTTACTTAAAGGTTATGTTTTGGTATTAATTTAATTTGGCTGCACTGCATGTGAGATATCTCGCTTGAATGAATTTAATTGCACCATTGAGTAAAAATAACATCATGAACAATGATGCATTAACACTACAACTTGAAGTATAAGGTTCAGTTTTATACGATTTCTTATTTAGCAGCGCTAACGATATGGAAGCATAAACCACTGTTAAAACATTATTTGAACATGTTTCAAAAACCACAATATAAAGTTGCCATGAGCCAGCCAAAAATAATACATATGGCATTCAGGAGTACAGTTGCTAATTGGCTGCTGCCTGAGAAAATGGTACACTTGGCTTCTGCTTAACACTGTGGGTTTGGCAGAATGCCAGAGTTGGGGTCAGGTTGTTGTGAATGAAGCTGCATGTGGTTAGGGAGGAGTTAAAATGATTCATGTCTTAGAAGTCGTAATAAGCAGTGCAGAATGTTGGTGGGTAAGCAGATGTAGGAAACTTTTTACCTATATCTTCTCTCATTCTTTAAAATTTATAATAAGGCACCCTTTTGTTAAATTCTAATCCATGCCTCTTTTGAGCAGCAAACTGTATTGTGTGGAAGTTGGAGGTGATATTTGACACTGTTGTTCATGATTAATGCCACTGATCTCTCTTTACAGATGGAGAATGGAGAGGAGGTCGAAACTGAAGAATACTATGTAAAATACAAAAACTTGTAAGTAAGCCATAACCTCAAATCCCCTTTGCAATTTTTTGCAATTTAATTTTAAAGTTACTATTGTAAATATGCATATACTTAATAAAAATATTAGATGAGAACCACCAGAAGTTTAGAACTGCTGTTCTCATTTCTTTACATGCGTATATTGTGACAAAGCACAAGACCCTTATTGTTTTACTGCTGAGTTGGAATTGAGTGGAATATTTTATTTATATCTGTTGGCTTATGCAGGAAATCATTTTAACTTTGAAGCCCTGGTTATTAATACATTTATATATCAATACTAAGAAAATCCAAATGCACCTTTAAAACTCACAAATGGTTTAATTACAGAGCATGAGCTCTATATTACCTACTTCATCAGATGATGGCTCCGAACTAAGAAAATTAGTTTGTGGAATGTTTATGCAGGAGCTCTTAAAGGTAAATTCATAAATAAGGATTTATTGATAGGGAAATTAAGAGTACAAAAAAGTTGCTTTTAGCTTTTATAGTGTGAGAAGAAACCATGATCCTAAGCCTTGACAGACAGATATGTGAATAAATTCCCGTTCTGCCAGTTCACGTACCATACATCCACTCAAATACAGCTGTTTGAGGGTGTCTACTCATTGTGTAGAATGACCAAGAAGACTACCTTTCACTTGCAAAGCTGTCTATTCAACTTGGATATCAAACCTCATGAAAATGGAACACAACATTATCACTTCATGCACATTTTTTATTATTTGAATTTATTTAAAACTACCTGCTATTTACAGTTATAGGCAAGTATCTCATTTTAAAACACTAATGGAGTATTTATGAACATATGTACACATTTTTCCAAGTTAATTGTACATCCATAAATCAGTGTTATGCACCATGTGTATTAAACATTAGGGGTGTGCAAAAATTTTTTTTGGTAAAATTCGGATTTGGATTTATTGAACCCAAATTTTTTCGGGCAACCTGAAAATACCCGAATATCTATACCGGTAAAGCATAGATATCCGAAAAGTTTCGGGAAACCCAAAATGGGTCCATTATATCCAATGGGGCCATTGAAGTCAATGGCAAAAATCCTCTGGAAAGTTTGCAGGGGGCTGGAGGGGATTTGAGATAGAAGCTCCAAATTTGGACCGTGGCTGCTCCAGCCTCTCCCCAAATGACCCCCAAGGTTTTGAGAAGATTGGTCCAGTGGGTCCAATTCCAGGGCCATCCAAAAGAGGGTGCCCCCAGATCCACTTGCTGCCTTGCCTGTCTATTGTCGGTTTGCAGCTGAAATTCAGCGGCAATTCGACCCCATTATATCCTATGGGCCATTTGGCACAATATGGGGCTTTACCGGTATAAATATTCGGGTTTTTCCAGGAATCCTGAAAAAATTCGGGTCCAATACATCCGAATCTGAATTTTACCTTTTTGTGTGTTTTTGCGCACCCCTAGGAGGGGGTTTGAGGGAGAGGCTTCAAACTTGGAGGGTGGCTGCTGGAACCTCTCCCCAAGATACCCACCAAGTGTCAGGAAGATTGGACCAGGGGGTCCAATTCTACTGGCCCCCAAACAGGTTGCCCCCATCCCTCCATTGTTCTCTATGGTGGGGGGAAAGTAACTTTTTCCCCACCATAGAGAGAACAATGGAGGAATGGGGGCAACCTGTTGGGGGAGCATGTTTGCATTGCCAGCCAGGCCCAGCCAGCACTACCATAGCGATCTGCCCCACCCCACAACCTGTGCCAAGGTGCCCCAGACCCCAAAACGAACAGAACTTGGTTCAAACCAGAGAATCTCTGCAGCAGCAGCATAGACTGAGGGAGCATGTTTGTGCATTGCCAATGCCAGCCAGGCCCAGCAGCAGAACCAGAGCAATCTGCCCCCCCCACAACCTGTGCCAAGGTGCCAGTTGCCAGTCAGTGCGCAAAACCAACAGAACTTGGTTCAAACCAGAGACTCTCTGCAGACTGCAACAGCAGCCTACAGACTGAGGGAGCATCATGTATTGCCAATGCCAGCCAGGCCCAGCAGCAGAACCAGTCCAGAGCAATTCCCCCCCCCCACAACCTGTGCCAATGTGCCAGGCAGTGCCCAAAAAACCCCAGAACCAACAGAACCAGACAATCTCTTCCTCTGCAGCAGCAGCAGCCTACATAGGGAACATGTTTGCATTGGCAGCCATGCCCAGCAGCAGAACCAGAGCAATCTCCCCCCCCACAACAACCTGTGCCAATGTGCCAGGCAGTGCCCCAAAAACCCCAAAGCCAACAGAACCAGACAATCTTTCTCTCTGCAGCAGCAGTGGCCTAGGGAGCATGTTTGCATTGCCAGCCATGCCCACTAGCAGCAGAAGAACCAGAGCAATCTCCCCCCCCCCCCCAACAACCTCTGTGCCAGTCACTGTCCAAACCCAACTGGACTCAGGTCAAACCAGAGGAATTCTGCAGTATATAAACTGGGGGGGGGGCAGTTAGGACCTGTGCAAGTGAGCAATCAGCTAGGGGTGTGCGATTCCCCACTCAGCACATTAAGAGAGGCAAAGGGAGGCCAGAGGAATCCAAATCAGAGTGGTTGCCAACTCTCCAGGGGGCGTCCAAAGATTGAGATACCCACTTTCCCGCGTTGGGGAATCATCCAGAGGGGTCTCACCGTACCTCTAGCAAGGCAGTGTGAATCCAGTGAGTGGTAGTAGCAACCAAGGAAGGAAAATAGCCCCACCCCCACCAGACACGGCCCAGGGAAGGCGAAAACCTCCCAACCCACAG